ACTTATGCAGGGTGTGAGGACATCCAGCGTCAGATAACGGACCAAAGGTCCGTTTCAAGCCAGGAAGCCCTCTAGTGGCTGTCCACCAAACAGCCACTAGAGGTGGAGTTAACCCTGGATAGTAATTACTTCAGCTTCTCAATAACTGCAACAATTACTATTGCAGAGTTAAGGGACATGGGACATTGCACCCTGACCACTTCAATGAGCTGAAGTGGTCTGTGTGCCTACAGTGTCTCTTTAAAGTTCAATTTACAGAGCAGAAGATAAACAGTTTAAAGTAAGTTACATCTGACTCAAAGTGAAACCATTCTGTTTTCATGCAGACTGTGTCAGTCACATCCAGGGGAGGTGTTGCTAGGGCTGCATAAACAGAAACAAAAGTGATTTAACTCCTAAAGGGCAGATAATTGAGCAGTGAAACTTAAAAGGCATGATCTCTACAACAAAACTGATGAATTCAGCTAAAGCTGTTTTGGTGACCATTATTGACTCTTTAAGGTTTGAGTGTGACTCTTTTTTTTTTTCAATCAGCCTGTTTCTTGCTTATCAGACATACCGGAACAACTATCAGGAAATGGGACAATAAACCTGTCATTATTTTATGCCAAATATTCACTAACAGAAATGAGGAGCAAAGTTCTAAACTTGGACCAGTCGCAATGGAAACCATTGCAATGTCTTGTTAACTTTTGTTTATATAGTGGTTGCTTCGATATATGTAATATATATATATATATATATCTTGTTTGTTATCATGTGTATTCATATCCTTAAACGCCTAATGTCTGTTTAAAAAAAAAATACAATTATAAATATATCAGGGCATAGAAAGCCTTAATGACAATATATAACTTATCGGTTGTCGGTTGTGAAATCCAACTTATCTTCTAACTACCCCAGACTTTCAAAACAAACAAACTGAGTTATAAATTACTGTTCAGGAATATCTAAAAAAAATGTTGACTTACAAAGTTGACGCGGATTATGAAAGTAGGGAAGGGACTGCCATTGATAGTCTTTCTGCAGAGATGCAGAGGGGAAGATTGCAGCCTCAATGAAGAAAAGTGTTTCTCTGCTCTGTGAAATACAGCATTGGAGTAAAGAGGAAGATGAATTAACTTGGTAAAGTATTTGTATATTGTAATTTTTTTTTTTTAACCCAAGAGATGGTTGTAACAGTGTATGTAAAAAAATAAATCTTCTCTGAGTTCCAGTGCTTTCAACAGGGTTATTCACAAAAGCGAGAATTTAAATTCAAGTTAAATAGCTGACCTGGGAATATTCTCCAGCTATACTTTCGGTCCAGGGAATTTGGCCTTAAATTTGAAATTCTCTTAATTCATGTTGAACTAGTGAACTGCTAGTGTTCCACTAATGTTTATTTTAATGTTTGTTTTCCTTTTTTTTTCTCAGGTCGAATTGCGCAGAACCCGGATCTTTGCGACGTTTGTGCGTTCGCGGCCTGCAGCGGATGCTGAACCAACCCAGGCAATGATCTCGACAAGCCTTAAAACCGCTATAAAACATGTGTTCTGCTTCCTTCTACTAATTATAAATTACAATATGGTATGGGGCCTACTCACTTATAAATATGTTACAGAAATAAATCTGCTAAATAAATAGAATAAAAATCAATTAATGCCAGTACCAGCACATTATCCTGTGACGTGCTTCAGTATCTTTTAACATTTGTATTTCATTAACTTATACGTGTTTTAACCGATTTCCTTGAGTTTAGTATTTAAATTAGTTTCATTTTGATTTTTAGGACGTGACCCCCTTATTGCGCTTCCTACACAATTGTTTCTGTCAATATATAAATATTTTTTAATGAGTTTTGACGTCATTTTGTGGACTTTCGATCAGTTGGTGGAAGAGTGTTTGCACAAATAAATAGAAAGTCGCATGTTCTTTAAGATTCCAAAAATTTAAACCACAAAGTCTGTCAATCCAAGAAAATAAAATAGGAAATGTATTGAATTTATAATATATATCAAACCAAACAGCAGGTAAAGGTAACTAATCATTTATTGTAGACAATATATATAGAATAAGGAAAGAGTAGGCTAGACACCGGGAGATAAAGTGTGACATAAGGTGAAACTACTGAGTTTGTATTGGGAAGCACTGAGTAATTATAGACTTATCAGGTGACATAATATTATAAGATGTACAGACAGGAGACCAGGAAAGTGAGATGTATTTTGGTATAACAAGATTATATGATGTGTTAGAAAGAAAATGAAATGGATGGGATAATATTGGGGTATAAACTTATTGTATAGAGGTAAGTAGGAATTATATAGAGGTAATTAGGAAGGTAAAAGGGATGAGATGATATTGTGATGAAGTGTTTCAGACACACATACACATGCCAGCTGCCAAGACACACACGTGTAATAATCACAATTGGTCCTGTGATACGCAGACTTTGTGAGGGGTTCGCTGCCACTTACCCTCGGTACAATAAATACATGTCGTGGTTTATTGAAGTGCCAGGGGCCCCTCCTGGTTACGGACCTGCACTCGCCAAACACTATATCATTTCCAAGTAACTCCTATCATTTTCAGCAATTAACCATCCTGGCAGGAATCCTGAGATACTAACCCTACCTACGCTCAGGTAGGAACTGTGAAAAACAGGCTCTATCTAGACAATACAGTTGCAAGAAAAAGTATGTGAACCCTTTGGAATGATATGGATTTCTGCACAAACTGGTCATAAAATGTGATCTGATCATCATCTAAGTCACAACAATAGACAATCACAGTCTGCTTAAACTAATAACACACAAATAATGAAATGTTGCCATGTTTTTATTGAACAAACCATGTAAACATTCACAGTGCAGGTGGAAAATGTATGTGAACCCCTAGACTAATTACATCTCCAAGAGCTAATTGGGGTGAGAGGTCAGCCAACTGGAGTCCAATCAATGAGATGAGATTGGAGGTGTTGGTTACAGCTGCCCTGCCCTATAATAAACACACACCAGTTCTGGGTTTGCTTTTCACAAGAAGCACTGCCTGATGTGAATGATGCCTCACACAAAAGAGCTCTCAGAAAACCTACGATTAAGAATTGTTGACTTGCATAAAGCTGGAAAGGGTTATAAAAGTATCTCCAAAAGCCTTGCTGTTCATCAGTCCATGGTAAGACAAATTGTCTATAAATGGAGAAAGTTCAGCACTGCTGCTACTCTCCCTAGGAGTGGCCGTCCTGTAAAGATGACTGCAAGAGCACAGCGCAGACTGCTCAATGAGGTGAAGAAGAATCCTAGAGTGTCAGCTAAAGACTTACAAAAGTCACTGGCAAACGCTAACATCCCTGTTAGCGAATCTACAATACGTAAAACACTAAACAAGAATGGATTTCATGGGAGGATACCACAGAGGAAGCCACTGCTGTCAAAACAAAACATATTCTGTGGACAGATGAAACCAAAGTTGAGTTTTTTGGAAGAAACACACAACACTATGTGTGACGAAAAAAAGGCACTGCACACCAACATCAAAACCTCATCCCAACTGTGAAGTATGGTGGTGGGGGCATCATGGTTTGGGGCTGCTTTGCTGCGTCAGGGCCTGGATGGATTGCTATCATCGAAGGAAAAATGAATTCCCAAGTTTATCAAGACATTTTGCAGGAGAACTTAAGGCCATCTGTCTACCAGCTGAAACTCAACAGAAGATGGCTGTTGCAACAGGACAATGACCCAAAGCATAGAAGTAAATCAACAACAGAATGGCTTAAACAGAAGAAAATACGCCTTCTGAAGTGGCCCAGTCAGAGTCCTGACCTCAACCCGATTGAGATGCTGTGGCATGACCTCAAAGCGATTCACACCAGACATCCCAAGAATATTGCTGAACTGAAACAGTTCTGTAAAGAGGAATGGTCAAGAATTACTCCTGACCGTTGTGCACGTCTGATCTGCAACTACAGGAAACCTTTGGTTGAAGTTATTGCTGCCAAAGGAGGTTCAACCAGTTATTAAATCCAAGGGTTCACATACTTTTTCCACCTGCACTGTCAATGTTTACATGGTGTGTTCAATAAAAACATGGCAACATTTCATTCTTTGTGTGTTATTAGTTTAAGCAGACTGTGATTGTCTATTGTTGTGACTTAGATGATGATCAGATCACATTTTATGACTAATTTGTGCAGAAATCCATATCATTCCAATGGGTTCACATACTTTTTCTTGCAACTGTATATAACAACTGAGTATGAAAATGTTTCCAATATTTCGATTTTGAAAAATCTCCTTTTCAATAATCCACAGTTTCTGGTTCAGTAAATAAACCCCATATATCTAACAATCTGTGCATGTATAGCTAACAGATATTATTTATAATCACACTGGAAGAGATAAAAAAAAAAAATGATGTTTTAATGATGTCAAGATTTGTATCCGTACATTTACTTGTGCAAAATTGGATTACAGAGGGAAGGAATGTTTGGTACAAAGTAAAACATCTTAAAAATCCATTCAGACATCTTCACTCAACAAATCAAGAACAAGAGTAAAAATAAGACGTGTGGCTTGTAGTTCGCATCAGAAATAGATTTATTTATATAAATTCAGAGTATGTTTCTTGTGGAATGACTAAAGGAAAATAATTAGACCTCTGATTGATACCCACCATGGGCCATATTGATTTGACAGAACGCTTACTGGATCAGTTGAAATGGTTAGCATCACAATTCACTCTTGAGGTTTGGATGCAGTAATTTAGTGCAATGCTGAGATAAGAGACATGACAGGCTTGGTTTTGTCCTTTTAAACATGCAATGAGAGTCCGATTTAAATAGATAATTATGAGGTAGGGTGTCTCCCTTCATCTGCCATCGGTTCCATGGAGAACAGAAGGTGTTACCAGGAGTCGAGAAGAGTGGTCTGGAGGATAATTCCACAATTGTGATCATCAATGGACACATCGCGGGAGCATTTAAATTGGGGCTGGGTCAATGCACTAATATCCACAGATCATTAGCATCCAGGACACGCAGGATTGGCGCATATCTCACATTCGTCCACATTAAATGCAGCTTCTACTGTGAAGAAATAAATTATATATCATTCTGGGAAATAGGACATGTTACCTAATTAAAATTCAAAATTTTTAAGTATCAGGGTAACACATACCTAGCTTTAATAATGATATAGGGGGACACATATCCAATTTAAAGGAACACTCAAAGCACCATAACTATAAGTATGTACTACTTCTCTCATTGGTCACTCCGTTATAGTCTGAGAGTGAGAGAATGTTTAATAAAAATATCCGGAAACATATCCAGATTAATAACGCTACCAGGGGAAATGTACCCAGATTAATAATGCTACCAGGGGAAACATACCCAGATTAATAATGCTACCAGGGGAAATATACCCAGATTAATAACGCTATCAGGGGAAATGTACCCAGATTAATAACGCTATCAGGGGAAATGTACCCAGATTAATAACGCTACCAGGGGAAATGTACCCAGATTAATACCGCTATCAGGGGAAATGTACCCAGATTAATAACGCTATCAGGGGAAATGTACCCAGATTAATAACGCTACCAGGGGAAATGTACCCAGATTAATACCGCTATCAGGGGAAATGTACCCAGATTAATAACGCTATCAGGGGAAACATACCCAGATTAATAACGCTATCAGGGGAAATGTACCCAGATTAATAACGCTATCAGGGGAAATGTACCCAGATTAATAACGCTATCAGGGGAAACGTACCCAGATTAATAACGCTATCAGGGGAAATGTACCCAGATTAATAACGCTATCAGGGGAAATGTACCCAGATTAATACCGCTATCAGGGGAAATGTACCCAGATTAATAACGCTATCAGGGGAAATGTACCCAGATTAATAACGCTACCAGGGGAAATGTACCCAGATTAATAATGCTACCAGGGGAAATGTACCCAGATTAATAACGCTATCAGGGGAAACATACCCAGATTAATACCGCTATCAGGGGAAATGCACCCAGATTAATAACGCTATCAGGGGAAATGTACCCAGATTAATAATGCTACCAGGGGAAATGTACCCAGATTAATAACGCTATCAGGGGAAACATACCCAGATTAATACCGCTATCAGGGGAAATGTACCCAGATTAATAACGCTATCATGGGAAATGTACCCAGATTAATAACGCTATCAGGGGAAATGTACCCAGATTAATAATGCTACCAGGGGAAATGTACCCAGATTAATACCGCTATCAAGGGAAACATACCCAGATTAATAACGCTATCAGGGGAAATGTACCCAGATTAATAACGCTATCAGGGGAAATGTACCCAGATTAATAACGCTATCAGGGGAAACGTACCCAGATTAATAAAGATATTATGGAAAACATACCCAGATTAATAAAGATATCGGAAGAAACATACCCAGTTTAATAGAGATATCACGGGAAACGTACCCAGTTTAATAAAGATATTGGAGGAAATGTACCCAGATTAATAAAGATATCGGGGGGAAACGTACCGAGTTTGATAAAGATTCCGGGTGGGGGGGGGTGAACGTACCCAGTTTGATAAAGATATCAGGGGGAAATTGTACCCAGTTTGATAAAGATATACGAGAAATATTTTAGTTTGTCTAAAAATACTCGGTAGAGAGGTAGAGCATTACCAAGCAATACAAAATATAGGAGAAATATGCAAAATTATAAAAGATATTGCAGAAAAAGAGTACGAATTTATTAAAATATCAAGGGGCGGGGGCGGAGACTTACCCAGTTTGAAAAGATATACAGGGGAGGAGGAAAATGTATCCAATTTGATAAAAGATATCAGGAGAGGGCACCGCAGTTTGAAGAAGAAGAATATCAGGGGAGAAATGTACCCAGTTTGATAAAGATATCGGGGGGGTTGGGGGGGGGACGTACCCAGTTTGATAAAGATATCAGGGGCATCCTCCTTCTCGCACACAGGTAAAAATTCCTCAGGGAGCTTGGACGTTTTACATAAATCATGAGGAGACACATCTTCATCCATGAGTTTCTTCAATTTTTTCACTGATTCCACTGTATACGTGAATTCTCCCACCTAAAGGAGTAACCAAGACATTAGACATGGGGCTCAAAGATTGCAGAATCACAATGTTTTCTCTGTGCTCATGGGCGTCCGCAG